AAGGGTTTTCACGGCGATTCACGGGGTTTCTTGCCGAAATCATGGTTTTTCACGGTCGCCTTACCAGGACAAGCCAAGACTAAAGCTTCTGCCAAAGCAAAGGGTGCAAACCAAAAGCCATCGCCTCTCTCGAGCATGGCATTGGCATCAAAGACTGTGCCAGAGAAGGTCGCCTTGATCCGCGCAGGGCTTGGGATTGATGTTTTCCATTTTTTGTGCGTGGTTGATTTTTGGTGTTTCAGGTGGTGATATCAAGAAGGAGTTGAATCTCATCAATGGGCTCCAGCTGGAGCTGGGTGACAATGAGCGCTTCAAAGACGGTTGTTCAGCCATGTCTACATTTTCCGGGACTTTGCAAAGTCATTTCAAGAGGCTTGACTTGGCCCAGTGAGCTCAGTTAGGTCCTATTTGTTGCTGCAGGCTTGACACCTGCACCGATGAGTCCACCTTGACGGGCTTGCTCAAGGATGTCCAGAGCGTTGCGCGGGACTTATGAGACAAGCGTATGCTGTAGAAGAGAAACAGGTTCTCATTCTGTAAGGTTTCGGACTGCCGCATGAAGCGGGCTGAGCTTGGCGCTGTCTTGAAAGAGCTTCGCAAGTACATCTGCCTTGTTTCTCTTCTCTGCTTCCAAAAACTTGTCTTCTTCTTCTTCTTCATTTTGCTTGCCAGGGGGTATGGCGCATGAATCTGACATTGGGCCACTTGTTTGGCGGCCAAATTTTGAACGCGAACCCATTCAGAGGTTCGACCCGTTTGCTCGGACTAGAACCATTTCTTCAAGCACAGCTGGTGCAAAGTGAGAAATGTGTGTTGCTTCCTGCAAGAGCTTCAGCAATTAAGAAGCACATGTTTCTTTGCTTAGGTTAGTCGTTTTGCTTGAGAGGTACGGCCTCAATGCGAAGAGCTCTTGATGAAGTGTTTGGCCCTTGACTTTTTTACAGCGCTCGGCACTTGCCCACAGATATGTTTTTGGTCGCAGGCGCGGTGCTTCAACTTTGGCCTCGGCCAATCGAATTGGTGACAGATATGGGTCTACAATTTTTGGGTGCGCCTCTCTCAAGCGTTCTGACAGAATGTGCAAAATAGTTTTTTTGGTCAGGCGAGGGTCAGCTCATGACGCCAGAATGTACCGAAGATTGCTGGGGGGAGGGCTGGCTTTTGACAAAGTCATCAGTCACGTGAGAATTCCCATTTGCAATGATGATGGGGTCGTGGAGTTTCAGAGCTGGCCTATGATAAAGCCTCCTGACTTAGTGCCTAGACTGAAGTATGACTCTGTCTCTGTGTCTGTGCGGGTGTGTGAATCCTTCTTGCGTTGTTCGATGGTGGGCTTTGTCAATCTGTGTCAATCTGCAGGCTGCCGCTTTGCTATCCAATGGGCATAGGGATGTTCTTGGACAAACAGCGCCTCATTTTTGGGCGATGCTCCAGAAACATTTTGGCAGGCCAATTCCGCCCCATGATGATACCATTGCCATCCAAATTTATGGCGATGAGATACAAGCATGGGAGACTACACAGCTCATGGCTTTCCATTGGATGCCGGAATGCTCGCCTTTTGAGAGCGACCCCTCCCGGTCGCGATTTCTCATCGCAGTTTTGCCAACATCGGCGTACGCTTATCAAGATAAAATTAACATCACGCTGCAGCAACTTCTACGAGAAGTGGTTGACTCATGCAACCAGTGGTCGCGCGAAGGTGTAGCTGGAGTTTTTGCGCAAGTCACCACGGTGAAGGGTGACTGGAAGTGGCTTGGGCAGGCGCTGTCGCTAGAAAGGCTTCCAACCAGAAACCAATTTTGTTTCCTTTGCGAAGGAAGCAAGGATTTGGTGAAACCATGGACAGATTTGGGGGGCGGCGCTCTGTGGCGCCATGATGTGCCCCAAGAGCCCTGGCTGGTGCGCCCAGCCCTTGCTGACTTGTTGAACTTTGATATGGGATGTGTGGGGTTGGATTTGCTGCATCTCTGGAGCCTTGGGATAGCCAGGGATGTCATCGCTAGTTGCGTGACGATCCTCCTGCGAACGCGTTTCTTTCAAGGCTCGACTGTGTCCTGGATTGGCTTCAATAATATCTTGTTGGTGGTAGACGTTGCTATATATTTGTTTACTGTAGTTGGTGGCTGTGTGTTTCTTCCTGCCTGAGATGTTAAGGTGGAATTGCGCATGAAATCCGCTGGCCAGCTGGCTGTTGAGTTTGCAAAGCAGCACACGAAGTACCGCTTGCCAGCCAAGTTTCACTTCTCAAAAGCAAGGCTGAGGCTCAAAGGTGGGAAGTATTGCCACTACACAGGTAAAGGCTGGCAAGCAACCGTTCTCATGCAATGGCTCGGCTGGCTTGTTGCTGGCCATGAGGATTTGCCGCTCGATGACAACATCAAATGTTTGATCTGGACGGGCAACAACTTCATTGGGATGCTCTATGAGTCAAAAGGCTCCAATGGGCACTTTTTGACGGAACAGCAGGCCAAGCAAATCCAAGCCATTGGAGGAGTCTTCGTCACGACGTACTTGAACCTCAATCGTGCCTATCAAGGGTGGTGCACCTACAAGCTGTGGAATTGTAGGCCAAAACTACATCTCCTGGTGCACTTGCTGGATGGCGTTGCTAAATTGAAAAACCCGCTGGCAGGTGTGACCTGGCTAGACGAAGGGTGGTTGAAGACTATCATGGCAATTGCGAGAAAAACGCACGTTAAGTGCACTCAATCGTCGACACTGAAGCGCTACTTGGCAGGCGTCCCTGCAGAGCAGCTTTAAACCCATGATGGTTGTGTGGCCCATGCAGGCTTGAAGCAAGTAATGCGTGAAGCTTCAGCTGAGATGAAGAGGTGTTGGGTTTGCGACTGCAGGGTGTATACATGTGGGTCATGAGCATGAGCATGAGCACACGCTAACATGCATGAGCATGAGCATGGGCATACGTTAACATGCATGAGCGTGCGCATATGTCTTCTAACGTTAAGCATGACATTTTGAGTCACGTCATGCATGTGCATATGCATCATCGTAACCGTATGTATATATATACATATATATATATAACGCGAATTTGTTTTTGGGTCATTGGCGTGCCATGTGTGGTTACACGCCATATGTCGCGCGGAGGGCGTACGCGCGTGTTGCCCTTGATGTGTGTTGGGGGTTGCCTGTGCTGCCAGGAGTCCTGCTGACGGGTTTGCGAGCTGATTGTCTGACGTGAGAGTGAAAAAGAATGAATGGGGCCAAATGGGATCTGGAGCGGTTGAGCGGTATATAGTGGTGTGTTTTGCTTTGCGAACGGTTGTGTGAAGTTTTGTTTCTTTTGAAGAAGTCCCCACAGGAAAGGGTTTTCAAGTTGATTTGGCATATCTGGGGGTTTTCGTGTGTATATGACGGTCTGGGTGTGGCAGGTGCAGCACTTTGTGAACCTCGAAGTGCAGATTTCGTGACAGGTACAGCACTTTGTGAACCTCGAGCTGCAGATTTAAGTGGCAGGCGCAGCACTTGGTGAACCTCGAAGTGCAGATTTCGTGACAGGTACAGCACTTTGTGAACCTCCACGTGCAGATTTCGTGGCAGGTGCAGTACTTGGTGGACCTCGAAGTGCAGATTTCGTGGCAGGCGCAGCACTTGGTGAACCTCAAAGTGCAGATTTCGTGGCAGGTGCAGCACTTGGTGGACCTCGACGCGCAAATTTCGTGACAGGTGCAGCACTTTGTGAACCTCGAAGTGCAGATTTCGTGGCAGGTGCAGATTTCGTGGCAGGTGGAGCACTTTGTGAACCTCGAAGGGCAGATTTCGTGGCAAGCACAGCGCATGGTGAACCTCGAAGTGCAGATTTCGTGGCAGTCACAGCGCTTGGTGGACTTGGAAGTGCAGATTTCGTGGCAAACCATGGTTGCGCTCTCAGATGCTCGCCTCTCCCACTCACACTCACACTCCCACTCTCACTCACAGCGACTCACACCCACTCACTCTCCCACTCGCAGACGCTCACTCGCTCTCGCTCACACTCGCACTCGCACTGACACGCACACTCACTCACCCACACTCACTCTCACACTCACTCTCACTCACACTCCCTCACTCACTCTCACCCACACTCACTCGCGCCCACCGTCACTCTCACTCACTCACACTCACACTCTCACTCTCTCACTCTCACTCTCACTCTCATCTCACTCTCACTCTCACTCTCACTCTCACTCTCACTCACACTCACCCACCTTCAGTCTCACTCATACTCACAGTCACTCTCACTGTCCCTCACACTCACTCTCACCCACACTCACTCTCACTCACACTCACACTCGCACTCACTCACCACTCACTCACTCACTCACACTCACTCACACTCACTCACACTCACTCACACTCACTCACACTCACACTCGCACTCACTCACACTCACTCACACTCACTCACACTCAACTCACTCACACTCACTCACACTCACTCACACTCACTCACACTCACTCACTCTCACTCACTCTCACTGACTCACTCACTCACCCACTCACTCACTCACTCACTCACTCACGCACTCACTCACTCACTCTCCCACTCTCACTCGCACACACTCTCTCACTCTCACCCACACTCACTAACTGTCACTCACGCTCACTCACACTCACTCTCACTCTCACTCACACTCACACTCGCACTCACTCACACTCACTCTCTCCCACTCGCACTCACACTCAGACTCACTCTCACCCACACTCACTCGCACCCACCTTCCCTTCATCACCACCATCACCTCTCTGGACCCCAATGCGTCTAGATCTCTAGACTTTCTGCTTACAGCCCTCACACACACTGTTTGGGGTCTCTTGCCGGGATAACTTAACATCTCTATTTATTGTGATACAACCTAGAACCCACAGCACACCATCTCTGGACTACCTACCAGCCACCCAATTTGTTCTTTCTGTTTCATCAAACACTCATGAGAAAAGGATCAAAAATGGTGTCCCATGCTAGCCCATCGGTCGTGTTTGGGCAATCTTGCCAAGGTGCTTGCGAACGCGAACACCAATGGCAAGCTGCCCTGCACTTCTTCTCAGAACTCAGCCAAAACGCCTTGGACGCTTGTAGGGGATGAGGGGCACAGAACAATATGTTCTTTGAGACATCGAACATGTCCTGGTCATGCTTATAGCTCGGTTTTGTTTAGGATGCTCTTTTCTGATGTCCTTATAGGTGAATCCCCTTCTGGGGAAGATGGTTAGTTTTCCCTCGAACACTTCAAAGGCTAAGTCCTCCAAATATGTCCAAAACCTTCTGGGCAGAGAGAGAGAGACCCAGAACAAAATGGAGATTGCAATGGTATTTGCGGACAACTGCTGCAAGTATGAAACGTGTGTGTTTTTTGGGGATTCAGCAGATTGCGCATATGTTTGCCGTTTGCCTTGATCAATAGCACCTTGCATAAGAAAAGGTTTTCGCACTCCAAATGATGGTGGTTTTGACATCTCAAGAGTCAAGATATGTTGAGAGTCTGCGTTTGTCCCGATTCAAACTTCCTAACGCTTAGAAAACACCCACGACTTCATGTTTAAACCCCAGACGCTCCATGGGACTGCCATATATGCCTAGATTGACCCCCGAACCACCCCAATGTAGGCATATATTCCATACATGGAGCGTCTGGGAACATGTTCTTGGCGGGTTGTACACTCCAAAAAGAAATCCGAGCTTGCACGATCGGAGGGTGATCGGATAGTGTGACGGAGCCTATCGAGCACAGGATCGAAGCACAAACAGAATGAACATACCCTAGGGTTCCTGTCCCATCTCCTCAGAAGTTGGTCTAACCCCCCTGGCACCCACCCCTGGCCCATCTTCGAAACGGAGGTGGGCCAGGAGCCCTAGAGGGAAAATTCTTTTGGGTCCATCCCGCCACTGACTCGGTCAAACAAACCCTGTTGGGATGGCACCGAACCAGGTCGGTGAGTAAGGAGACGAGTTGTATATGCAGGTGGTCTTACATGGGGCGGGGCCCAAATGGGCCCAAGCATACCGAACCAGGTCGGTACGATGGCAGTGGATTCATTTAGGGAAATTGATGGAAGTCACGATTTTCAGCCAGGTCCCATCCTCCACTGGGCCCTCTTGGTCCATGGGAGATACGAACCCAAGACGTTCGCCCCTGGAGTCGAAAGCAAGAGACAGAGACTTCACAGTGGTGGTACATGACGAGAAGAAAAAGAAACCACAGCAGAGAAGACAAGCAAGACTTCATCGTAATGCTGGATTGTACACTAATTACCAGAGAACTCCTCCTTCGGTATTTGTTTGTTCTATTGGCACATATTGGCACATGGCTTGGATGGCTTGGATGGGTATCACCTCTCTGGGCTGAGAGACCCCAGGAGAACAACAACGACGACGACACCAGCAGCAGCAACAACAGCAACAGCATGTGTTTCTCCTTTGTTTAACAACGTTCATGTGTTTCAGTTTTTATTGTAAGTCTTTTCGCCATAGGAATGTGTGTGGTTTAACTAAGTTTTGCCAAGTTCCAGTCGCCCACCCCGAAACACTGACACTCAATTCGCTGGTGTTTGCACCCAGCGTTTTGGTCCATAACCATCCATGGGACTATCATATCTACCTACATTGGGGTGGCAAGTCTTCCATCCACGCAGTGTAGGCTATTCCCCTGAAACCAACCACCCATCGGTTTTCTCATCAATCATTCAGTCCGGGTCGTGGCGACCGGGGCTCAGGAGAGGAACTTGATCATCTACAACACGGTCATCAGTGCCTGTGCCAAGGGCACCTCGCCACCGGGACCGGTACAAGGGAGGAACACCAGGGTCTTGGAACAGCATGTTCCAGTAGGACAGCCAGGCAGCCACGGTTTCTAGGTCTATGACGGTCTATGCCTATTTGTCTTTGGAAGCACAGGTTATGCAGCTATAGTACTTACTGCATCCCCTCGACTGTTTCTTGGATGTGCAGACCTTGCATGTTTCTTGGATACGCCTGATGGCTTGCTCGCCTGGCCTTTCAACCACTGCACTTCAACATCCCCACCTGGCTCGTTAGGTCCATGCCAACCACGGCGTGCTCGGGTCGGTCTATCACCGGTCTGTACGACAGATCCCGACGGTTTCTGGCACCCAAAAATCCAACCATAAAACAGACAGAGCACTTGCCAGGACCACGGAAAGGGTTGTTGATGGACACCCCCTGACGTCATGCATTTTCCATCCAATAACCACCCCTTCCGTGGTCCTGGTGAACTTGAATGACCATGAGGGGCTCATCACCTCTTCAGCCTCGCCATTTCTTCGAGGCAAGGCCATGACGGGCGCCCCTCTTTTTTGGGGGGAAGTAGAAGACTTCGGACCAGGGCTGATAGTTTGTTGCTCCCTCAGAACACAGATTTTGTAGCCTGAGGGTTGACGTTTGTGGTGTGTACTTTTTCACCGCTCTGTGCGTATCTGAAGGCTGTCTTTCTTTGTAGGGCCCTACTGGAGATATGGCCGAAAGGGGCCGAACACGACTGCTCCTGGTGGTCGCGAAGACGCGAAGACCACGTTTTGGCGGGCGGGTGGCTTTTTGCGCTGAACACGGCATCCTTCGTTTCGGTCCTTCCTAGCCAGCGTGCCAGGCTTGGTTTTTGGGGGGTTGGGCCTTCTGGATTGGCAACAGGAGTTGATTCAATGTTTTTTTTCAAAATCTCAAGAGATGAACATCCAAGAGAGGATTTTCAGGGCGCCCTTTTTTCTCCCTATCCCTGTACCACAGACCAAGGTCCGAATGTGAACAGGTCTCCAAAGACCTCTTTTGAACATCACAATCTCAGAGGACACAGACGACGCACGGCACAGACTACGCACGGCACTGGAGGCCAAGAGTGGCAACGCGCCATCGCCTTGCTAGAGGCACTGGAGGAGCCAGTGCCTTGCTGCAGTGTCCGGAGGCGGTAAATGCAGAGGGTCAAAGATTCATCATGAAAAAGCACCAAAAACACACTCACACTCCATGCATGTTATTATTACCGTACATTATTAGGAGTGGTTTTGTTGGTCAATGTATGCAACAACAACACACACACACATGGCAACACATGGAGTTAGTTTTTGGGGGATAGATGAGCGTAAAGAAGAATGACTCTGACGCATTTCTTGTTGTTGCTTTCCAAACCAAAGCACTGTAGATCACCCTCCAGCACTGCTCCTGTTAAGGGTTGATGGGGTCCTTTTCGTTTGGCCGTCTTGATTAGATGGAAGTCTACGTGTTTTAACCCAACCTCTCCCGGCCCAACCATGAAATTGTGACCTAACTTTAAAGATAAGGGGCATGGAACAGGGATAGGGATAGGGCTACCAGCACGCAATAACCTTAAACACCCAAATAGAAGTTCCATTATCATGTATTCTCCTTTGCTACCTTCAGACCAACGGAAAGATATCACATGTGTGTATGTGGTGAAGGTTGTCCTCGAAGAGTCTTTGATATGCTATCATCGTCCATTGCGATATGTTCTTGAGAAACAATCTTACCAGTTCAGTTTCCATTGTTTAGGGTTTTATGTTATCTCCTCAGTACATGAATCTTGTTTTCTCCCCGAAGTCTGAACTGTTTTCCAAAATAGTTTTACAGTAGTGGACGGTTTTTGTCAGACGGTTTCATGATGTCTCGATGGTCCAGACGAGTTGCAGCTGTTTTCCTTTTTGGATTGAGCTTCAGGAATCACAGCTGAGACCAAATCCGTCTCTCAAATCTCTCAATGTCAAGGGGTGGACAAGTCTCCAACTGTGTTGGATGAGAAGATGGACATTTGACCTTGGTGTACCTTCAGTTCTATTACCACGTGATACTATGTTCCTGCAGACCAGCTGTGACGGACCAACATAAAAATTTGCCATTGTCCGAAGGAAGGGGAGCTGTGCACTTTGATTTTGGGCAGAATCCCTGGAGTTGATTACTTCCAACCTCACGGCTGGGGTAAAATATGTGCATGTATAGTCTCAACAGTGTCTTTTTAATCTTCAAGACCGAATAAAACAGGTCACAACAAAAAGCCTTCTCTTTATGGTTCTGGTAGCTGAGGGCAGTGCGTTGTGAAATGATGGTCATCGTATTTTTGCCTGGCACCTTTTTGCATACTGTACAACCTTCACTCGTGGGTCGGGTTGCCATATAAGTTCATATAATATAAGGAGTTTAGACCGTGGCACATAGCTCCATGTCTCCAAAGTGTTCATGAGCCTTCTGTTATCGTTGGGTCTTTGAGGTCAACCCCAACCACAACCGATGAGTCGTGCCATGAAAGTATATGAAAGTCACTCATGCTATATGTGTATAGAAATGATACATTGACACTCAAACATTACATTCTGAGATGGTTGTCCTATTTGTTTCGAATCTCCAAATAGTTTCATGTTTGTTTGTGTTTTGGGCACCTTGTTGGTTTTCATGAAGCAAATGAGATTGGTCGTCTTATGAGAGTCTTCCAGCGTTGCTTCTTTTAAGGGGTGTCTTCCAGTAATTGTGCGAGAACTGCAAGGGCAAGCGGCAAGAGTGGCAACGAACGCCGCGCACAGAGAAAACAAGCAACTTTTAAGTGCATGATATGCCTGGACCCCTCAAGAGTGCCTTTTGGGGGGGACCATCACATGTAGGTCAGGTTTGATGCCGGAGGCTTATGTTTTTCTGGGTCACCCAGAGTCGACTCACATGTCTCACCCAAACTGGGCTCTTCAGCGGCTCGGCCTCCTGAGACGTTCGACTCAGGACATCATCTCATACAACTCCAGCATCTCTGGCTGTGCCTTGGACGGTCGATCGGTAGATCCATCGACGGCGCCTCGCACCGGGTGAGGAGTACTTGAACTAAGGACCCCGACGTTTTGGGGTCCGGGGCCGAAGCAGGGCCGATTCGGTTGCTTCGGGCCCGGATTCTTAGGGCAGTGGTTTTCTTTTTCCTTCACCTGCTGAGGTTCCGTACGACTGGATCCCTAGTTCCGTGGGGAGACATGTTCAGAGACAGCCCCACGCGACCTCGGCTGACGTGACATCGGCCGACATCCCACTGGGACGAACCCGCTCGGACCTGCCGGTCGGAGACGCACCGGTACCGAAACCGGTCTGACGGACATGATCCCGAAGAACAACAGCTACGGACGATGGTACTTCCTATTAAAGAAAGACGGGGTTATGTACTAGTTATGTACCCATGTTGGAAGGTAAGAGCGGAGGCTCCAGGCAGATGGTCGTTTAATTCAGGGGACCCAGAACCGTTGGCTTTCTTTTCAAGGCTCCAGTCTCGTCCCGACCGCTATGGGACCGACCCAACTGGACGTGCGCGTGAAGTGCACGCGAGAAACGACTGCCGCAGGCGAGAAAGGCGGCGAATGGCAACGTGCCATGGCATTGTTGGATCAGCTCCAAGAGAGGAAGCTACAAGGCCGGGTCCACGGCGCCCCGAAACGGCCAGATGGACCGAAGGTGGGCGTCACGTCCGAAGAGGTGACCAAAGGGGATGTCACGATGTCCGAGTACTTGGAGAGATTTGGGAGATGTAGTCCAAGTGCACACATCATCGCTGATCATCATTTGAGTGCATCGTTCTTTCTTTCTGGCATGCAGTATGAAGAGATGCATCACATCGGTTCTGGGCAGTTCTGCATCCAATCCAGGTGTCGTCTCTCATCCGGACGGCACTCCACAACTCTCAGATGGCGAGACGACACCGGATGGAAGACTATGTGTGTGAGTCTACTGGGGAGACCTCCAGGCGAACCCCATGGAAGAAGGACCATCAACCAGTCTACCATATAGTTGACCCAGCCATGGGGCGAGATCTCGGGGTTGCATTTCAAAACGCACGCCCTGGTAGAGCTCAAAGTACCTGCGTTGTGACTGTGAAGCTGTTGGAGCCCATTGGATGATCGAGCGGCTGGTCACCATGTCAACCACCATGTCATCCGAACTTCGTCGGAAGATGGGCACCAAAACAGGGAGAGCCACCCAGGTCGACCTCCACGAAGGAAAACAGAACAACACCAGCCAGCTTAGGGGGTCTCTCTATTGAAATACACACCCACGCCTTGTCACCTGCCCGCTGGCAGAGCTGACGATGCGAACACTGGGCGGACCGGATTCGGCAGGTACAGTGGTGACCTTTGCCGCTGCCATCAGCGCATGTCACTTGGAGCGGTGGTCGTGCAATCCCGTTTGGAGAGTATTGCTTCAACGTTTGTGTTTGCCATCAATGGCTCGGAAGAACCACATCAACCACGTCAATTTGACTAACAGTCCATGGGGCTGGCATATGCTGGCATATTTACCCACATTGGTATGGTTTTTAGATGCTTAATGTTATATAACATATTATACATATTCCAGTTGCAGAGTGTTTTGGGACATGCATTGTTGGGCAGGTTCTTCCCCAGGCTGGTTCTTCGTCTTCTTCATGGTTTTCTCGGGTTTGACCGACCGCCAACCATCGATTGGACCGAGCATCGCCTTTTTTGTGGTGCGGTTTCTCAGGTCCTTTAAGTGAATGACGAGAAACATCGAGAAACTGCAACAAATATGTGCAGACTGTTCAGACTTAGGTGTCAAACACAGAATTCGTATGTGTTTTCGGTTTGAAGGACCCTTAAAACTGGGCGCGGAGAAAGGGCCGGGTTCCTCTATTGTTGGGGTCTTGCAATTCTTTGACTTCCCTCAAAACTCAATCCATCACACTGCAAGTTGCAAAAGCGTATCAACTGGTTTGGAGCAAGTTGACATATCTCTATATATAATTCAGTTTGTTCAGTAAGCCATGAAAAAGCAGGGGCTGGGGCAATCGAAGGATTGCCTGGAAGATTCCAATTCAATCCACCGGCTCACTGGATGTCCCAGTTTTCGGCCCCCTTCCAGTTGTCAAGGAGATTGACAGAGGACCTGGGCGTTGCCCCGTCCGATGGAGACGCCTCCAGGACCTCAAGTGGATGTAGTTCTGAGGGGAGGCCCGGCCCAGGTGGTTTATTGAGCCATAGTTACCACACTATAAGGAACCAGGGTTTCGTTCGGTCTATGCTTTTAGTCTTGACAACCACTATAGTGTGACCAGCGACATCGTTTTTCGTGCCTGGATTTCTGGCTGGGACTTTCTGGTTTTCGGTGTCGCGAAAATCGGTGCCATGGTAGCCTTGCGGCTTAGGTGAGAAGTCCTCTCAATGGCCCCTAGCTTTGGAGCTCCTAAGCTCTTTGGGTCCCTCAGCCAACCTGGTGGCTTTCAGCGTGGGGTCCCTCAGCCCGCAATCGTGAGAGAAGAGCTGTGTTCCAGCTGGAACAGCCGATGAAGCCGATTGACCGATTGACAGCCAGACATGACACCCGTGCTTTGATAGGAAGAGTATGGAAAAGGCATGAAAGAGGCATATATTCAATCGGATTATATACTCCATATATATACTCCGATAGGTCGCTCAGGCTTGTCGCCCAAAAAAGCTCATTTGCTGTATGTTGTGTTTCTTTGGACAGTGTCAGCATGAAGGAGTCCCCTCAAGATCATTCGACATGGGCTACAAGCTGGTGATTGTCATGAAAACGTTGCCTATAATACCTAGATCCCTCCATGTTGAATATTTACCTATTTGGGCAGGGGTGGTTGATTTCGGGGGTCAATGGGGCGGTCAATATTCCAGTCTCATGGAGTGTTTGGGATAGAGATCCCATGCCCTTGAAGTGTCGACTTGGTCTTCGATTCTTTGGTTTCTGCAACGAAGGAGGAAACCGCTTTTTTTTTGCAGGAATTTGAGGTCACACCCTTGTTGTTTGGCCGGGATCCCTTTTGGTGAAGGTCACTGCTATGACTACTGTATAACTGATATGAAGCGATTCCGATCATGTTTTTGGACACCAAGCAACCACTTGGAAGTCATATTCCATCATGTTCCGCTGATCAACAAGTAATCCACGCCCATACATCCACTGATAACTGGAGCTTCCACATATGTCAAACCAGCTTGTTCTTCACTTCGCGGCTCTGGAAAGCACTTCGGACTCGAAAGTAGAGCCTATCCCAGACACGACCTGTCGGGGAATGTGGGACTGGCATATGAATCCATGCCTTGGGGTGGTTGACCTGCGGTCAATGTTGGCATATCTCTATATACCTGGAGCCTGACTGACCTTTGTTTTGATAGGAAAAGACTATATTTTGGATAGTTGATCCTCCAAAGCAGGGGTCACAAAAAGGCTCCACATATTTATATATATATATATGTACTGTATATACACCATAAGTGGAGTGTTTGGGTACTGGAACCCCGTCCACTGGATTCCACAGCGCGTCGTCCAGGCGGCGATCAGCGCTTGCGAGAAGGCGGGGGAGTGGCTGAAGGCCTTGCAGCTCTTGGCTGACGCGGAGGTGGGATGGACCACGTGGGATGGACGTGGGACGCGTGATTCATGTGATGGATGGTTCTTACAGGGACCCCTCTTCCACCAGCCAGGCTCAGCCTCATGTGCCAGTCCCGCCAGTCCATGAGTTGTGCCTGGCTGAAAAGCTTCTGCAAAAAATGGAGCTTCGTCAGGGCCGGGTCTCCCCGTTCGTGGGGCAGGTAAGCCTTGGAAGGGGCTGGACAGCTCTTTTGGACGCCGAGCTGTCGCCAATCCCAAATGGTTTGGCTATAATGATGGTATACAATATTACACTACAAAACCAGGTCATCCGGTTCTTTTAAATTAATGCAATATATGCAATGCCCTTTTTAATTAATGCCCTTTCTTTTACTGGGGTGTATTTCTAATAGTTGAATAGTTGATTTTCAAAAAATATCGATTTCCCTTTAGCTTACCTTGTTCCTTCTGCCACCCCCTTCTCAGCAGCTGATGCTTCCATAGGGTGGATCTTCACTTCACATTGGTCCTTGGTACAATGATGTCATTCTAGCTCAAGTACTGACAAGATGACAAGTGAAGGATGTTGATGTCCCTCATTGGGTCTAAACAAGCCAAGTCTAAAGCCCTTTGGATGTGTTGTTTCATGTTCTTTCAAATCCGTAGGGTAGGCAACAGTTGCTGGAAAGCATGTTCACCAAATGTTCTACCACCGACATCCGGATAGGACTGTGAGTCACTGAGTCGATATTAATGGAATTGGCATAAATCCAAGCACATGCATGAGTCAACAAAGCCATGTCACTCTCAGGGTAAGATTCTACTGGAACTAGTTCTGGTGGGACCAGTTGGGTCAGTATCGGGCAAGTCCAGCATCCGTTGGTTGTTGGCTGAGTTAAAGGATGTTAAAGGTGCAGGTTGTGGGAGATTGAATTTACTGACTGTTGAATTACCAGTAATCAAGATTTCATCACCCCTGTAAAGCATCCTCCATCTATGCTTCGGGCCACTTGCCTAACAATCCTGACTGAGTCCGGTAGTCATCCAGCAGCCTTCTTCCTCATGACAGCGCCTGCAGAAGCAAAGAGGCAGCCAAGCTGAAGCATCAGAAAACCATCACCAGCTGCACTGAATCCTTTTTAACCAGCTTCAATCACAGGATCATATCCGGGGAGCTGGACAAAGTGCTCAGTGGATTCATGTCTTAAATCAAGCCAGGGACTGTTCTAAAAAATATCTGGAGCGTATGGGATAGACTAGGTGTATTTCTAATAAACAGTGTTCTAACAGGGTGCGACGGTCGCACCCTGTTAGAACACTCACTGACGCGAGCGAGTGTTCTAAGGACACTCCTGGATTCGCTGGAGCTGACTTAATCTTGCGTCCGTCGCAAAGTGATCAAGCGAAAAACACAATCTTTGCTCAGGTCCAGCGAAATCAGACCCCCCTTAGAACACTCAATGACGCGAGCGAGTGTTCTAACAGGGTGCGACCGTCGCACCCTGTTGGAACAGTGTTTACCTTAAATACACCTAGTCTATCCCATACTCTCCAGATATTCTTTTAAAGCAGTCCCTGGCTTGATGATTGATTTAAGGCATGAATCCACTAAGCACTTTGTCCAGCTCCCCGAAAATGATCCTGTGATTGAAGCTGGCTAAAGAGGATTCAGTGCAGCTGGTGATGGTTTTCTGATGCTTCAGCTTAGCTGCCACTTTGCTTCCGCAGGCGCTGCCATGAGGAAGAAGGCTGCTGGATGACTACCGGACTTCAGTCAGGATTGTTAGGCAAGTGGCCCGAAGCATAGATGGAGGATGCTATATGAAGAGGTGATGACATTCTGGTGACTTTTCAATCTTCATTCCACGTTTACATGTTGCATTCAATATTTTTGTTTATTGCCACAGGCTCCCTTTAACTGACCCCACTCCAAAGTGATGCCCGGGTCCCAACTGGTCCCACCAGAACTAGTTCCAGTAGAATCTTACCCTGAGAGTGACATGGCTTTGTTGATTCATGCATGTGCTTGGATTTGCCAATTCCATTAATATCGACTCAGTGACTCACAGTCCTATCCGGATGTCGGTGGTAGAACATTGGGTGAACATCCGTTCCCAGCAACTGTTGCCTACCCTACGGATTTGAAAGAACATGAAACAACACATCCAAAGGGCTATATACTTAGCTTGTTTAGACCCAATGAGGGACATCAACATCCTTCACTTGTCATCTTGTCAGTACTTGAGCTAGAATGACATCATTGTACCAAGGACCAATGTGAAGTGAAGATCCACCCTATGGAAGCATCAGCTGCTGAGAAGGGGGGTGGCAGAAGGAACAAGGTAAGCTAAAGGGAAATCGATATTTTTTGAAAATCAACTATTCAACTATTAGAAATACATCCCAGTTTAACTATATATATATAATATAGGTGTTCGGGAAAATAATTCCACCAACCACAGTGACCCATCCAAGATGTTAGTTCCTTTGGCCGGTCATAGGGAAACACGATGTCTAACAACTACATACAACTATACTATACAGTATTATATATATATACCTTATAGAACCCATTTGACTCCTGTTGTGATAGGAAAGGACCATTTTTGAGGTTGGTTGGTGGTCCAAAATAAAGGATTCCTCAAGTTCCATACCCTAGGCCTCCAGTCGTACCTTTTGAGAATGTGAGACTGGGGGCCTGGGTGCCATTGTCGGGTCCAGTCATACCGAACGTGAGGAGATACGACTGGAGGTGTAGGGATAGCCTTTCACATCTGCACTCCTTCCCATCTTTGGTCTCCAACCTCACTTTTGTTCAATCGGAAAGGCTGTCCACCACAGATCTGATGCGGACCCAAAGCGTGGCGCCCAACCAAACCACAGACCGAAGGCTGGGCAATTTTTCCGAATCCGTTAAAACAAGAAAAGGTTGCTTATCTATCTAATGTAAAAACATTACAATGAACTGAACAACAGTCAATTTGAACATCATTCTTTCTTGGCGCCTTTAAATCCATTCAACAACTTGGGGCACCGTTCGTCTCGATCGAACTTGGAGTCTTTGGGCGCCCGGTAGCCACTGGCGCCACGCCAGGCTCAACACCTTCAGCCCGATGTGGTCGCCTACGGAGCCAGTTCCTGGGCCGCCAATGGCGCTCAATGGCCATGCGCCGGAAGAGCCTTTCTCTTCGAAGAGAAGGAACCTGCCGGTAAACAGCCACATTCTTTTAGTATATAGCACCATGAAAAGGTCAACATTCTGGTGAAAAGAGTATAACAGTATAAGTGATGTCGACGGTTTAATTTCATGTCACTTCTCATCTCTCCGTATATATATCCACATACCCTCTTCTTGAGGCTAATTCGAGACATCAGGCTTGTAGGCTTGATCCGTATGAGAAGGTGGCAGTGGATCCCTACGGTTTGAAGAAGCAACTATCCCTACACCTCCAGTCGTACCTCCTCAGTGAGACTCGAAAAGGACAATGAAGCCACGCCTTGAGCGCCAGATTTGAGGTAATCAGAACTCCTAGATCGGGAGGCCGCACCTTTGGTTATGAGATGTTCTATGGGATGTCATTTGCAGCTTAAGACGCAAACAGAGCAAGGAGCTTAAACCTATGCCCGGAGCTTGATAGCCAGGTTTTTCTGTCTAACACCACGTGCCACAGCCGTGGTGTTAGACAGAGCACGTCACCCACCCAGGTATCAGCTCCTGTGAGAAGGCAGCCGTTTGGCCACAAGAGACTCGGCCGAGACGAGAGGCATTCACTAAAGAGGGTAGCCTGCTAGCAGCGTGAGATGAAGCAGGCAGGTCTTCATTGTTCAACTTGAGAAAGCATAAAACATGGTTTAAACAAAAAACATGTGCAGTTGGTACAATGGTACAAGGTTCTTAGTTAAGTTTGACTCTTCTTGAACTAGTTCGAAGAGGTTGGGTGTGGTTGGGTTCTCCTTCGGCCCAATGGGGAGCACAGGATTCAGCCACGAAACATGGGCTCCCGTCACACACAGACACAGCCAGCAGTGCACGGAGTGGCGTTCCCCGAGCAGGTCAGCTGTGACCACCCCAACCGAATAGCACGAAGGGCGCTTCCGGTGTTTCTTTTTGCCTTCCTTCGAGTGCAGTACTGTTGTCATGCTAGCTGTATCTAGCTGTGGTTCATCTAGGGATGATCCTTCAACTCAGCAGGAACACCCCCTTCCAGGACCGACCGACAGCGGAGACCTGCGCTCGTTGCGCGCGGTCGGAATGGACCCAACTCCACCCTCAACTGTCAGACCTGAAAGTGATTGTATACTGCATGGTTGGTGAAGAGTCCCTATGGATCCACATACCTCCTGGGGTACGGTGTGCAGGGAGCCTAAGAAAAACGGCGCCCATTGGCACCATACCGAACCAGGGTCGGTACGGTGGATCCGTGGATCCTTTGGGAGAGTGTATAGGTGAAGTCCAGGATCCCAATTCCGGTGGCTGAAAAACCATAGTTAAAACCCATTTCCTGCCAGCTCCCCAGCTATCTTTCTTGACAACACTCTGCAGTTTGCAGTTGAGTTTAGTTGGTGTTCTGTTTAGACCCATCTGATTACAGAGACAATGTTTGACATGTTTGCCAAGATTTGCCGATTTCTGGCCACTGAAACGATGCCCTTCTTCCGGTTTTCTGGGCACTCTAGGCCTTCACCTTGCTGGAGCGGCTGAATCAGCGCTCGGGGCAGCCGAACGTCACTCGGCTGAAGGGTGCTCTAGCACCCCGTTCGTGGCAGCCCGTCCCGGTCAGAGCACTCCGAAGCCCGAAGAGACCGAAAGTTCGCAAGAGCAAGGCACTCATAACACTGCAAGAGTTGGCTACATTTGAGGTCTGTGTGGGTACTGTAAGTATTCGTACATCGATGCATGCATGTTTGGGGACGGCAATGCGTTCCAGCTGGGCCGGCTCTGATGTGTACGGAACAAAATGGAACAAATAAGGTTTTGACCTCCAAGCAACCTGAGAGAACATATGGTCCAACTTCCTAAGAGAACAGGGGTCATGTTCGGGCCATTGCCCCTTGTTGGCCAACATTCTGCGCTGGATGTGCGGGGCTTTTTGTTGTTCGTATGACGTATCGACAGATCCAAGAGAAATGGACAGATAGAGAAACCAGGGATTCAAGACCCTAGGCCTCCAGTCGTACCTTCGTTTTGAAGGTGGGACTGGGGTGGCTGCCAGGAGGGTCTAAATACCTTCTGAGCAGGTACCTGGAGGTGTAGGGAGAAGGGTTTCACACCATGGATACATCACTTGCTCAGATCATCCACGGACGGTCGGACGGCCGGGGTCCCGGTGGTTGCTGGGTTCATGTTGCTTACCAGGACCATATTTCGACTCTAGACCGCCTGTCATGAACAGAAAGGTAAAACCACTTTCAACATGTATTGGACACCGTGCCACTATCTATTTGTGGACCACTTTAGATCACAGATGTACGTATACACAAGAGTATCTAAAGCGACATACATAGCGCGGTGCATCTCACATATAAATAACCGTTCCAATATATAAAGGTACTTGATCTAACAAAAAAAAGCTCTAAACAAAAGTTTCAACGACCTCCCGTTTGTTTGTCGCTGCCAAGAAGTCCTTTGGTTTCTGAGATAGCTACTCAGCTACTCCTGCTACAGCTCTTTACCTTTCGCTGCCCAAAAAGCCTGCTGCTCTTGCTACTCTTGCTACTCCCTTCCTGTTGCTTCTGTGTACTCACCATCAATCATCAGATGGTGCGCATCGTTGCGTGAAAGCACGCAGCTTCGTCGCCGGCATCGGTGGGTGGTGCTTCGTCGTGCGGACCCGAGCGGCCCTGAGTGGAGCGGGTCGGTTCCAGTGCCCCGGAGAACCCCACGTGATGCGAAGGAGTTTGAACCAAAAAGACATGGAACAATCATCGCCGGTTCCAGCTATATAGGTCTGATCAATTATTCTAAGTCTACGGCTTCACAACCAGTTGAGTTCGTAGCTCCCCAATCCACTGGATTGCTGACTCCATTGGGCTACCAAGAAGGACCCAAGAGAAGACCCTCACGGGCCTAGAGGATTAGGCCAGAATAGCCACCTACGAAAAGGATCATCCAAGCAGGCAGTGATCTACAATGCGGCTGTAAGCGCTTGTGAGAAGTATGGCCAGTGGCAAGGAGCCTTGCAGAAGCTTGGCAGCGAGGGGTTGGGGTAGAGGTGGAAGATTTGACCATGTCCACTTCTCAGACAACACCTGGGATCGCTTTGTGATGTTGACTAACCCCCCTACCAGCATAGTTCTACATCCCCATGTGGCTGGGTTATTAATCAGTCATTAGTCAACATTCCAGATTGATATCGTATCAATGATAAATTCCACAAGAATCCCTTAGTCGCACGGGCTCTTTGTGGAACCGAGGGGCTCCCCGAGTTTGGTGTCAGTGAAATCAGAATCCTATAGTTCTGGGCTTGAAACATGATGTCCTGTAGATGTTCCCTGAAACCAATCCGTTGAGGAATATCCGATGTGGTTATTTTTTTTTGTGTGTGTTGCGCGTGTTTGCTTTTGGTTCACATATGATGATACGGACTTTCTCGTGGTGTTGGCGGTGGGAAAAGACAAAATTCTATGGACCATGAGTGTGCCCTGAACAAGGGTTCCATTTGCCAGGACCCACACGGGGGTGGTTCATGAACACCCCGAATCACCTCGAATGGGGACTATTAATAGACGCCCGCTTACGGGCCCTGTCATTGGTTTGTATGTAGTGTACTATTGAATCTATGCGAGGTGAGGTGAATTTTTTTTTAGGCCTTGCCTACTCCGCCCGTGAGTGTTTACCCTTCATGGAAGGCACCCGAACGTATGGGCCGTACTGGATAAGTTAGTACACAAATGTATACAACCAAAGGTAGGTGCTAGGTCCTAGGCCCTTCTTGTGCTGGTTCTAGTTCTTAATACAACGGAGCTCCAACTCTCAGCTGTAGCTGCTGTCCGAATGATGTGCACCAGTTGGAACCCTTCTTCATCCCCGGGCAGATCCTGAAATCGGACCTTGACACCTGTTTCCCTCTTTTGCTTACTAGGTGAATATCTTTTCTCCATCAGTGAGTCCAGATTCCTGAAGCTAATCAGCTAATCCCAGGTTTTCATGTCCCGCAAAAGAGTCACTCACCGTCTACTCTCTGGGGCGGTTTTGATTTTCTGCGGTGAGAACGAACATGCCGATGTCGGAAGATTCCGGCTACTTGGTGAAACGGTGCTAAACTTAGCACCTACCCTATAGACCTCCAGTCATACCGTATCGGTTCGCTTCGGTGGGACGACCGGGGCCCGGGTGCCAGGTCCTGAGGTTCGGTGCGACGACGACTGGAGGTGTAGGGCTAGTGAGTAGAAAACCTGTTTCATATCCAGCCATGAACCTGGCCTGGATTGGACACCAAGAAAAAAACCAAGCGGGCGGACACCAAATCCCCCAGGTGGAACGTGTGGTTAACCTTTATTCCTCTATTCATCCAGGGAAACAGAGAGAGAGAGAGAGAGAAGGACAGTTCACCATCCAATTGTTGGATCCACAAAGGAGCTTCTCTGGTTCAGATTACGCCCACTTTCCCCCACGCTCAGCTTCATACACACCTTCATACACCACGAAAACATACGAAAGTGGAACTCACCAAAGACTGTTTTTAATCAAAAACATCCTGGTTTTGAGGTGCTGGCAGCACCCAGACGCTCAACGCTCCAACAAAAAGAACCAGACCCCTCCAAAGGATTCGGCTCCACCCTCTCATCGCTTCGGGTTTTCCAGTCTGTTGGCCTCGCAACGCTCCAGCAGCGCCGAGGTCCTTGGCCCAGCAGCTCCGCTCGTCGCTCAGCTTGGGCGTCGCCGGCCTTGCGGGCGCCTCGAGCGCCTGCGGGCGCCGCAGCCTGTGGCGCTGGGCCACGGAACTCTCCAGTGCCATGCAGGAACACGGGCGTGAACCGGGGTGCACCGGGGGTTGGAACACGGGGGTTGGTGCTGGGAAGCAAGCTGTTGAGCACTCAACAGTTGGACCTGGGTTTTACCCAGTCCCAAGCAGAAACAAGTCTGGATGCTTCCCCAAAGAACTTGTTGGAACAATCACAATTGTTTCAGGTTTGTTGCTTCGGTTTCCTGGATGACTCAAATACGTGCATTTCCTATTTAATTATAATTAAGAGAGCTGCTGAACTTGTCAGCATATCCGAAGTTGGTCACCACAAACATCCCAAAAACCTTGGGAGAGGAGGCTTGGAACTAGAGTCACTAGAGATAATCAGTGACAATCTCATAGATAATCGCTATTGTGATTTGTTTGGCTTAGTTTTAGGGGTGGTGTATCAATGAGAAGTGGGTGGGCATTAGACTGTGTGAGCACATGGGGATTGCTTGAGCTCAACTGGTGGAGGGGCTAGGTGACCCAGGTGGCCAGTGCTGGAGTGGAGCAGTTTCTTCCTGGTTCCTGGGCGAACCCCAGGGGACCGGCTTCCGGGGAGCCGCTACCATCCACGTCAGATCCTAGAGCTTGAACTCTTCCATCCTATAGAATCCACCCTCAAGCCGCGGGGCTCGGGGGTGGGCGGTGGGGTTCGGGTCCAAGCGTACGCCCAGTTCGGAAGGGGGTCCAGTCCATGCTGCTGGTTGTTCGGGCAGTCTGAAGACGCTGAAGACGCTGAGAAAAAGACACCACAGAAAGACATCATGAATGAACAAAACACACATCTCTGACCTCCAGAGCTTATCTCCAGAGCTGCTTTCTTCCCTCCCCCTTAGTCCTTAGACCATATATGTCACATGTGTTTTCGTCATCCATCCCCGGTCCAGACAACCTCCGGAACACCGGGAGCGAAAGGGTGTGCCCGGGTGGTTGCAAGGGACACCCCGGACACCTCACCTCCAAGAGGCGTTCGCCTCTTAGAAGACATCCTGGTTTGAAGTTTTTTCCGGAGCTAGGGTGGAGGCCATCGCGCTTAAGGTGCAGGCCATCGCTAGTAGGTTGGAGGCCATCGCTCTTAGGGTGCGGTAGCTCACCCCTTTCGTCCGGAACCGGAACCGGAGGCCGACTAAGTGTCGCAGAGTAGTCCGTCGTGCGTCGTGGAGGCCCGCGAGGTGCAAGGCAATGCCATTGCCTACAATGCCTCATTGAGCTCTTTGGAGACCCTTAGAGGAAAAGACGGTAGATCTGTGACAGATCCTTTTGGTGGGTTTAAGGGTGGGCTTGAGGGGAACGTATAGCTGTACATGAAGTATTCACAGCGCTTCGCGGTAGAAGCTGCCCGCCCAGATTAAATAGAGAATGTGTCAGTAGCACCACACGAGGATACAGGTTGGCGGTGTGGGAAGCAGCAACTTGTGCTGTCGGAGCCGGTCTGTCTCGGTCTGTCAGTCTGTTTGTCTCGGTCGGACAGGACACACACGGACGAACACGCCCACGATGTCAATAGTGCAATCGCCCCCGAGCTGCATCGGCTGCATCGCATATATTTATCCGAAGCCATACGGACACACCTGATATCAATTTGTTGTTCATGTTCAACAAAAAACTTTAAAAAAACTAACGTTTCTAGTTTCTAGACCAAGCTTTGCCTCGAAGCTTACACAACGCCTCAAAGCCTTCAGTGCGAGCGGATTTCTGGCTGAAGAACTCAATGCGGACCGGTGACACGAGGTTTGTTTTGCTTGGGCTGAATGCTTAGTAGTTTGGAAGTCAGACCCGGAACCTTCAGCTGACACAGCTGACACACAAAGAGAGGCCACAATTGATGTGTTCAAAGGGTGAGAGCAAGAGCGTGTGCGATGTACTATAGGGATTTAGTTGGAGCTTGTGGTGATGTTCCTAGTGCTTCTAAGTTTGTTTGCTATTAGACGAGGACGAAGGATCCAACTTGGCAGGGCAGCCGCAGGCTGCAACTCAAAGGAACTATAGAATACTATGTCCTCCGATGCGTCCTAGTGCGTCCAGGTGAGGGAACCAGCGGACCGGTGCACCGAAAGTTCCTAGTTCCACGAATCCAAAAGATACTTGTGAGTAATGGATCACCAGGAATCACATGGAGTTGGGTGGTGTGACTCGTCCCAGCCAGTGAGTGGATGTTTTGGGCACTCCTGGCAGATGGCTTAAGGAGGTTTTTGTAAAGCATCTATATGATTTTTGTGATGTTCAGAACTCTACCCAGTTGACTTTTGTGATGGTTAAACAATTACCCAGTCAGTTGATCACCTTTAACTTAATTTTTTGGGGGTGTTGGGGACGCCACACTCACCAAGAAAGGCGGGGCAGTTCGGTGAACCTTTCTTGTCAGCTACTCCTGGTCAATCAACAAAATGTTAACCAAATTTCGAGTGATCTCCATCAGGACATGAACAAACCCTCAGTCACACGCCGAGAACGACCGGGTTTGCCCGTCGCGCGGCCTCCCTCAAACCTCAAGGAAGTCCACGTCCAAGCGCTGGCGCGGCTGGCGCCTGGCGGCCAACCTCTGCGAGGCTCTGACCCGTCGCACCATCGCTCCCACCGCGCCCGAGACGGAACGGACGCGGAACGGACGCGGAGGGGGGGGGGGTTGGAGCTCGGTGGGTTGGTCTTCAATGAGTTGTGCTGAGGGGAGTGAGAAGTGATGAGAAATCTCTGGGGAAACCCCGTGGGGCTTAACTAGGCTTCACTAACAGCCTCAGTCTTCTTGCGCAAGTGCGCGGGGAGTAAATTTGTTGAGGCGTCCTTCACCCATGACGCCCATCAAGTCCTTATCATATACAGTATCTTCAGAGTGGCCAAGGTCCGTACGGAACTCCATCCAAATTGGAGTTGCAATTTAGGACAGGTGTATTGTATGAAAATAGAGGGGACAAGAGCAAAGGAATTCATCTGGATGTTTGCTCTGTGGACTTTCGCTGTGAAAACGGCGGTTTACGAAACATTGGGCAGGTCACCGTTTTCTAAAGGCGAATCCTAAAGATCCTGGCCGGTGTCCACGTTACACCTTGGATGTATCCTTGCAGACTCCTGTGACTACTACATGTGACTAATTACTGACTACCGTGAAATCCGTGACCAACATCTGATGATGGGGGAACTCGGGGAGTTTCTGGCTGCCACTTTCTACAGAAGAAACACATCCAGTGACGGTTGGTGCGATCTAGATGCCTCCTATACCTCAGCCTCCAACGCTCCAAAGTCCCACAGCCCAATCCCAGCCGTCCCTCAGACACACCTATACCCAGACACGACACATGGGACTACCATAGGACTGCCAATCAATTGATCCCCAAAACCACCCCAATTGATTGGCAGTCCGGACTGGCAGTCCCAGACAGATCGTGTCTGGGTGGCTCCAGACGAGCGGACCGCGGGACCTCGGACCTCGCGGCACGACGCTGGAGAGCGAGAGTGAACCATCCGACGGTGTGACCAGGACCATGCAGTCCGGGGTGTCCAATGGAGGTTAGCAGGAGACCCTATAAGGGTAGTCTATTGGAGGCCCCGGTCCAGGATGGTCCAGGTATATACTCTTTTTTGAACGGTGGCTTTTTGGGATGCCAATAATTAAGCATCATCTGTCACCGAATGCAACAGCACTATCTGATTTGGATCTCGTATGCCTCTGACTGCAAAGCACTGCTTGCTGGCTGAAGATGTGCTCTTGCTGGCGTGTGTCTTTTGTCTTGATACGTGATTTACAGTATGTGATTGCAGACCGGTGGAATTAATTCAATTAATAATATGTGTGTCAACATGCTTCACATTTCTGCACACATGCAACGGTTGCAGATATCAGATATCCACAATGATATGCTTCCACACCACGGCACCCACACACACACACTATGACATACTGCATGAGTAATATTGATACCCCCTTACATGTGTTGGTTTTCCACTTCTGATTCTCCAGTTTTTTTGCGAGGCTCTCAGTTCCATGCCATGCTTGCACGTCCAACTGCTACTAGTCACATTCCGGTCGGCACCCGTCTTGGTCAGCAAGTGCAGCAGCCAAGCAAGCACTTGCTCCTTGTGTTGCTATTGTTTTGGATCGATTGACATGCTACACCAGGCTCGCTTGCTTTGGCGAGTCTCATCCACCGGATCTTTCAACGATCGCATTTGATCCGAGGTGATTACCTGCAGTGCCATGATCTCCGCCTTGGAGAAGGGTCTCCAGTGACTTGAAGATGAAGTGTGCGATGAAACACCTCCCAGGGCCTCAGCGCGGTCGGTGAAGGTGATAACGTGGTTGAATATCACGAAACATGAAGCCCTAGACCTCCAGTCGAAGGTGAGACTGGGGGCCCGGGTGCCAGTTTCGGGTCCAGTCATACCGAACCTGAGGTTCGGTGCGACGAAGTCGGTGTAGGGAAGATGGGTGCGACTGGGTTATGGTTCAGAGATTGGTAGGACACACCGACACTCAAAGGTTTGGGGTCCCAAAATGTATGACACGCAATGCAGGGTCTTGAAGAAAAAAATCATATACTGTATGTACCCTAGGCCTCCAGTCGTACCTTCTGAGAAGGTGTTTGGGGTGGGTGCCAGGAGGGTCCAAATACCTTCTGAGGAGGTACTTGGTGGTGTAGGGGTATGGCTCTGGAGCTTCCAATAGGATTAGTGTTTTCTTCGGTGAAGTAGTGCCAGGGTGCACAGGTCAAAGATCATGATCTCACTGAATCGTGTTGTACCAAAGCCGAACCCTGCAACAAGGTGAGGCAAAAGTTCAAAGGATGTCGCAGGATCAAGTGTTGCTGGGTCGTGGCACTCAGGAAGACAGTTTACTTCAAGCATCGCAGGCACCTGTGGACTGGAGGCAATTGATTTGATGCTGCATCAGGGAAGGTTGCACCTGCACCAAGGTCACCAAACCCTCAGAACTTTTCTGCACAAAAATGAGGAGTCTATGATTCTCCCTTTGGGTCAGTCAGTCTTTCCTTTCTCAATCAAGCGAGGTGGCAGAGAGCCGGGAAACTCTTAGAGCAGTTGGTGCAACTGCAAGTGGAGGACGGGCCCGGGTGGAAGGGAGAGGAGGATGGACAGTGGAAGAGAAGTGCTCGGAAGGCTCAGAGGTAGCGAAGGGGAGGATGAGCAGTGGAAGGACTTGACGATGCGGTTGATGAACCAAATTCCCCAGGCTCTATTTGGAATGCACAAGCCCTCGCAACTAATTACAATTAAATAATTACCCTATAGGGCATTATAGGGATTCAAGTACCTTCTCAGGTTCGATACGACTGGACCCTCCAAACCTATGTGTCTCCTTCCTCACATTCTGAGAAGGTACTTGTTTTTTTAGGGTCAGTGCCAAAGGCAGATGACATGATTGAAAGCAGATGCAGATGTGAGGGTGCTTTGCGGAACTCAAGGTGACCAATAGGATTGGGGTTAGAGGTTGGCAAAGACAGGACTTCATGTGGGGAGTGGGGACGCCATCTTCATGTTTCATTGATGCGGTTCCATGTGCAAGACATATCAACATCAAATTAATGAACTTAGGAACAAAGGAACTACTAGTAGCGATGCCCTTGTTACTCGTAGCTTCTACCCTAGTAGTGATGGCCTCTTTCCCAGCTACTTCGCTCCCCAAGACCGGCTTCTTCGCTCCCATGCGGTGCCAGGCGAACGTGATTTCCTTCAACGCCGCCGTCACTGCCTGTGCGTCGGCGCAGAAAGCACTGGACGATCGACGCGGAAGTGCCATGACGACGGACGTCTGACGGAGGATCTCGACGATCGATCTGCTTTCCATCGTTTGCGGACGTCAGACGGATTCGTCGGGAGTCCCAGGATGTGTGGATGTAGGGCTCCAGAGCCAGTCGCTTCAGTTTGATGGGATTGAGGTGGGTGGATGCCGTGCCTGAGAGGACCTGAGGGGGTAATTAGTTGGAGCCCTAGGGAGTGCAGCTCATATTGAATTTTTGTTTATTCGGTTTTGCAAGTGCTCAGGGCTGCCTTTGTTTGGACAGAGACAAACAGTTCAAAGGACATCAGCTTGATTCATTGAAGTGACTTGTCCTTAGATCTCAGAACCATCCCCTTTCGGAGCTAAAAGAAGAAATAGCTCCAGTCGGATCATCGCAGCGAGGATTCTGTTTTCCGGTTCCAGATTCAGAGGTACCAGAAAACATCCGTCAAATACGGTACCTATTTGTACCTGTCTACGAGGCGTAGCACCCCTGCTCTACTATTCCCCGGCCAACGAGTCCGGACCACGGTCACCACGGTCGCCGGGAACTCCACGATCTCGTCTCGTCCCGCCACGCTGAGGCCGAGGGATGACCGGCGCGGCGAGAACAGCCAGCACAGCCAGAACCACGAGGACGAGCCTCGGATGAGAACCAGGAAGAGCTGAAGAGAGAGAGAGAGAGACTTTCACTCCATCACAGTCGACGCAGAAAACTCTCCCTGACTGCTGACTGCCTGGCCGTTTGCCGGCCTGGACCTAAGCCGAAAATCACCGCGCTGTTTTCGACCTGTTGGAATTGAGGGGCTTTCCCATTGTCGCTCCCAATCCAGGCTTTGCAGGTGATCCACTCTGTCCTGGGGACCTGTGGAAAGTCAGTTGGATGTGCAGGAACCAGGAACTGGGAACAAATAACAACATCTTCCCCATGCCTGTTTATTCACAAAAACCGGAAAACTAAGAGAAGACCGATCCGGAAAACCATCTCAAAATCAGGGCTATCTCGGTTCTTAAACGTGACCCTTTTGATCTCCTGCTTTCAGGCCACTTAGACGGACCTGCAATAAGGCTCATTTCGGGACTCCCAAAAGCTGGCTTTTTTTCAGAAGCCAGTCGATCCTTCTCTCTCCAACTGGGTTGGGTTGTTGCAGGACATCCGAGACACGGATGCTCCTGGACTTCTTATATAGGGATGGTTTTTGGAGGGCCGGGTCAATCTTCTGAGGATCAAAGGATCAAACAAAAACCATCCAAATCCAGAGTTGAGTCCCCAAATCAAAAACGATCAAAAAGGAATTGGTGGATGTTCAATAGCTTCGAATGTCCAGTCATGAGGACGGGAGAAGGTTTGCACCATTTCGCACCCACTGCCATGCCATGCTTCTGTCACACAGGCGACTCGCATCGAACAGCGGGAGCACAGCATCGAACGGCAGAATGCCAACGGGACCGTGTGAACGCCACTGGGACTTAAGGTGACGATTCCAGGAAGAACGGCTGTGATGCTTGGGCAGGGGGAACCATGCGTAAAATATTCGGGAAACTTTCCAAGAAGGACCAGTAAAAAAGACCCATTGGTTGGGCAACACGACTTGCGCAACTGCCTCTGAGTTTCTGCCCATGCACCGACACACAGTAGTATCAGTGGTATGAAGGGGGTGAAAAGGGGGTGATTCGACCGGTGTCGCCATGACCTGCGGTTCGACATCTATACCCCTTCCAAGCCTGCTTTTGGACACCCCGTTCCTCGAACAGAGCTATCTATAGACACCTCGAACGGAAGGTTGTTAGTACATGATGGTCAATGATTTTTAAGTCTATACCTGGACCCTCTGTAAGTCTAGACCTCTGTAAGTCGGGGGCGTCACGGCGTACGACCGTGCTGAGCGACCGTTGGAGAAGCGACCTGTGCACCGGACAGTCCTCAGCACCGCACTGCAGGTGAAGCCGAAACAGTCGCCGGTTCCACCGCAGGAGTTCGGAGCTTTCGCCCGGTTCTGAGGCATCGCTCGGAGGCGTTGCTGAAGCTCCTTGTATGTTGATGGATGAGTTGTTGACATAGTATATGTATAGATACATGTGTCCAATCATCTTGCTGGAGGTGAAACAGGACCACAGTGATCAGATTTGTTTATGCACACAAGAAACGTGAAATTAGACTATAACACCACATGTCGGCATAATGTTCAGTTCAATTCACATGCATGCAAACATATCCAATCGAGTCTCAGTTCTTGGACGTGACATATAGACATATTTTGACATGGGCCCAACATGCTCCAACATGGTCGTGCCATTTTTTGAGTCAGAGATGGTCCAACATGAACTCCAGACATACGCAGAACAGATGAATTTGCCGTGCACAATCTTGGAAGGGTCGCCGCCAGAGAACAAGAGAAAAAATGGCGGCCGAGCTGGTCAGCAGACAGCAAGCTGCGAAGCATTTGCTGAAGCATCTAACAGTGGGTAAACAAGAATCATCATACCCGTTTAGAGAAAGGCATGGGCCTACTAACCAACTTACCGTGGTTTCAGAGTAGATGGCACAACCCCCTACATGCCTTTTAGATGGGGGTCCATATAAACCACCTGTTGGGGATTGTGCCCTCTACTCTGAACCCACTGTATATGTCAGGCCAGAAGTTTGCTCAGAGAGACTTTTGGGTCAAGTGCTTCTTCCGACAGATGAGCGAAAGTTTATCACCTCCAACTGCAGGCGACAAAGGCTGTTGTTGGATATTTCACCCAAAAATCAATCTGCCTGGATGCACCTGCCAGAGGGACAAGAATACAGTAAGTGATGTAGATGCCAGATGCAATATGCGGAATCTGCCAACTGAATCTTCGCAGCCCAACTAGTTAGCAAAGAGGTTTTTTTCTACAATCCACAGAACGTGCTGAAATATCGTTCGAGTTTTTCATGGCCAGACCTTCAGGATTCACAAAGCGTCCCAACACCTCAACGGGCCCTGCCCTGCCAGGCGCCCAAGCCTGTTGGACTACTGGAGGCGGGTGCCCTTGACGCTGCTGTCGGCGCCGTGCGGAGCGCCCAGGGGGGTGAGACCGCTCGCGGCGCGCCCGGGTTGGTGGGCTGTGTTCTTCTCATTGGTTGGCTGTCTTTCGGTGAAGCAGGAGAGTCATGTTATGTCATATAGGATATATATGGATATATAATAAGTATACAAGAAATATAAAAGAACTCCTCTACAAGTGTGTAATTCCTGGAGCAGATCTCAAGCTTGTGGATGCCCGGATCCATCATATTGAAAAGTCTTCTTCGTCTCAGCGCTTCTAGCGGTGATGGGCCAACGTGGATGGGAACATGGCCCCGCAATATGACTTAAGGATGACCATGAAAATCCATGGAAATCCGAATACCAATGACAAAGCAGATGGTGGTTTTCCACTTCTATGTCAATGATTTGGAGAGTAAGTACCTTCATGATCCACACCACCTAAGGTTCCAGGTGGATCCTTTCGCCTGTCTTTTTTGCGTCGGCGGCTTCCGCGGGGCTCAGCCGGTGGAACTCCAATCGCCAACGAGGGCAAAGAGTGATGAGCTTTGAGGGCCAGGCGGCCGCTTGGATGAAGAACAGCAGTTTCTTCCGTGAGCTGATCCAAAATTCAGTGACATATAGATTCTGCTCCCAACATTTGAGATGATACTTGAGGTGCATGACCGCTGGAATGCAGAGATTTGGGAGCGTTTGGATGCAGTCAATTCATCCCTTGACAGCTTCAAACGACATGGCATTGCCAGAGACCTGCATGAGACGACTCCTTTTGAGATGACTTGAGAATTAATATCTTTAAACTCGGTTTTTGCCGAGCTTCAATGGAGCATCAACGGAGCGGATGTGATGCTTTAGGGCTTGGTGCAGACATTGAGATGCGGTTCCAAGATGGAGACGAAGCATAAGAGGCGTTTCGCAATTCCTCAATCAAGGAGTCAGTGACTTTGCAACCATCAGTCGTACTATGTCATACGGTATAACCCAACAGAACACAACAGAACCACCTCATAACTCATTCACACTACCCAGACACTCCTGGACCCTCATATGGAGGGGTCGGACCCTCATATGGAGGGGTCAGGGGTCGAACCAATCCCTAGGTTTTGAGGGACCCAAGGGCTGTTTGGAGCGTCTGGGATATATATATATATATGTGTATGTATGACTTGTGACTCACGACATATGGTGTAAGTATGTAACATCTCCCAGCATTGCATTCCTCACCTTTTCCACGTTTTGGGATGTGGATCGTCCCATCGATGTTCCCAGCTGTGTGGAACGGGCATTGTAGACGCATGAGATGGCCAAGTCATCCTGACCTTCGCCTTTGACTCGAGGCACCTTTTGTTTCGCTTGGCTTCGACCTCGAGGCCTTTGAACAAAGACACGTTAATCAACATGTTGTCACCACCACAACCATTAAAGCCACCAGCTGATTTATTGGCAATCAACTTGTTGTTTTTTCTCTCCCACAGGACATGCTGAAAGAATGAGAAGGTATGGAAGGGTGGAGAAGATTGTTCAATGATATACGGTTTTGACGGAACACAAGGATCGTGGTGATTTTGGTGACACACATGTGCTCGATTTGGGATCAGCGATACTGTACCTAGACTCCATGTGGAATATGTGCATTGACCCCTTTTCAGCCACACATGACAGTCTCACTCGCACGGAACAGGGTAGGTGCGGTGCGGTGCGGAACGTTCGACATGGGGCGCCGAAGACAGACAGAGTATTTGCGATTCCACATGAATCCATTATAAGTTTGCGCCATTCGTAGGCTAGGTATGTCAGATGCGCCCCTGTTTTGGCTCCCAATCATACAAGCTCAATACTCAAGACTCTCTCTGTGGGATTCTTTGAGTGCACTGGGGTTTGGCGGATTCTTTGGTCGATCATTCCATAATACATTCTTCCTAGTACAAGAACATAACCCAGTACATAACCCATAATACATTCCATAATAAACTGTTAGGGTCGAATTGTTTGGCGTATGTTTCTATCGACCACTCCGACC